TCATTAGTGAAGGCTTTGGTTTTGTTCAATGCTGTGATGGAGGCTGGTGCTGATATGGTCATATAAAGCGGATTTCGGGTTTCGACACTGAGCTGGGATGTTTCATTAATTCGGGTTTGGGGGATCTGGGCGTTTCACCCGTGCAAGGGTGTCCACAAGACTTCCCTTACTTAGTGCTCCAACGTCTATGTGCCTCTTAAAGAAAGTTATCTCCATTACAGTATCAACCATTACAATCCATCAGATCACATGGCATACTCCCAATCAGGTATGGTCATATCATTTGCATTTGTCAATGCCATATGGATCGGAAGATTGATGAATCCCATGCAATAATTTTGGTCATAGTATATTTGCACTGCAAAATCTTGAATATGAGCATGTGTACATATTTGAAAAAATAGTTCGTTCTCAAATTCATAAAACATGCTCATGACACCGATTTGTCTGCAAGTTAGTATTAATTATGAGTGAGTGAGTTTAGGTTTGCGCAACTTTTAGCAATATTCAAGCAATATCACGGTGGGGGACACCAGAAAAGAGCTTCACACATTGTACGCATGTGGGGAATCGAACCCGGATCAAAATTCGGCTTGACTAGTATTAATTATGATTCGGCACCATTTCTAAATGTGTTTGATTAACATACGTTAGTAGGTCATGGTTATTTATTGTACTTAAAGCCTCCTACCCATAAACAAGTAATACAAGTATATATATAGCACATGTTACAGACATTTCACAATAGAAATTACAGTTCAGATAAGATATTGTTTCTAAGGATAACAGCATGTTTTACATAAAGCGCAAGATTACATATTACATTTTCATTTTGGAGGATAGAATGGAAACAAAGGCAGCTGAAGGATACTTTGACAGGTAATTATTTGGGATATATTGTTTTCTTAAATCAGCATAATGTGGGCATACAAAAGCGAAGTGAATTTCATCTTCTATAGCCGAGTTACATAATGGACATATCCTGAAACGTCTCTCTATTGAAAATCGTCTGCCCTTATTTATTGATAAGTCTAATAAGCCCAATCGAAAATTGACAAATGTGCGTCTGATATTTCTAGATGTCAATACAGATAGATATAGTTCTGGTTGAATTAAGATCTTATGTGATCTACATGTGTACAACTGATATCTTGAACTATTGTTTGGACAGGAATGTCATTCTTGATAATACATGCTAACAGATTGTTCTCGAAATTGCTTAAGAAATAGATTAATATTACCATCTGTTTCATTTAGCCACACAAATCCAAAGCCATGAGAAAATAAAAGATCTCTAATATGAGACGCCCATGTTGTCTTACGCCTATCATCTAAATGTACAAGCATGTTATAAGCTAGTTTTGGGATTCTTTGTTCGTGCATTCCAAGGATCTTTAACCAATATTTTGAACATCTGATTTGTGAATTTATATACATCGGAAATCTACCGCATTCTCCATAAACCATACAAGTTGGTGTTGCTTGCGCTACATTTAAAAATCTTTTACATGCTAACAGGTGTAGTTTCTGTAGACATTCATGACGTTGAAATCCCCAAATTTCAGACCCATAAAGCATAATCGGTAGGATTTGTGCATCAAACAATTTAAAATATATTTTCGGGATTAAAATTCCAAAATTCTGGGAAACTGACATAACATTAATAAGAGCCTTCTTTCTTAGCACGTGATTTCAGATCTATGACACTCTTTTTAAAGTTCATGGTATGGGAAAACACTAGTCCGAGATAGGTATAGTAATTAACAATAGATACATTTTTCCCATTCAAAAAACATTTTTCTTTAGAGGCGACAGGCCCACCTCTTCTAAAGATAACTATGTTTGCTTTTTCAAAATTAACAAATAATTTCCATTCATTTGTATAACGTTCCAAAATATTCAGTTGGTTTTGTAGACCGACGATAGTATCTGACACTAAAATTACATCATCAGGAAAAAGGAGGATAAAAATGTCAATCATATCTGGAAACATTTGCACACCATGTTTACCTGAATTAGAACACAGTTCGCTTATAAAGAAGGAAAACAATATAGGGCTTAAAATATACCCTTGCCCAACTCCCATGGGACAGTCGAAAACAATCGGTGACATCATCACCACAACAAACACATGATTTAGTATTCAAGTACATAGATTTTAAAATAGAATACATTTTCCCTTGTAAACCAGACTTTCGTAAGCAGTGCCATAATTTACAACGATCCACAGAGTCAAAAGCTTTCTTAAAGTCAACAAATGCTACATAAAAGTTTGTGTTTATTACGCGATAGACACTTTTGTAAGCAGTGCCATAATTTACAACGATCCACAGAGTCAAAAGCTTTCTTAAAGTCAATAAATGCTACATAAAGTTTGTGTTTATTACGCGATAGACACTTTTGTATTATTGCATATAGTGTAAAGATATGGTCAGTAGTTGAATAATCTTTTCTAAAAGCCGCCTGGCATTCAAGAATTAAGTTTCTTAGATTTGACCAGTTTGAGATTCTGTTGTTTAAAACAGTTGTAAATATTTTCCCAATAACACTCATTAAAGATATGCCTCTATAATTATCTGGATTGTCTTGAGCCCCCTGTTTATGTATAGGGACGATAATTGAACGAGACCAGCTTTCTGGAAACGAACCACTTTCAAATACAATAATAAAACACTTATGGAGGAAGGGCATTAGCTCGACTTGAGAACATTTAATCATTTCGATTATAATAATGTCGGGACCAGCTGCTTTTCCGCTCTTTAAGTTATTTATAGTATTCTTTATCTCATCTACTGAAATTTGTGTTTCCAAAATCATTTGATCAACAGTGTCATAGTCATTCGAAGAGATAATATCATCATCGAAGGAATAACCATCACTTGAAAAAACAGCATCATTAGAAAAAACTGTCTTCAAATGTGTCATCCATTCACATTTTGAAATATTAATTTTAGGATTTGATCTCTTTCTAAATGAACGAACTTGTTTCCAGAACACAGCAGGATTGTGGATAGAATCATTCAATCTGTTCAATCTTTGATTACGCAGGTTAGATTTGAATTTTCTGCATAAAGCTTTGTATTTGTTTCTAGTAAGTTATTCATACATTATAGCCCGTGACCATACTACTTGATTGATTCACGTATAACTATCCCGATTTATAAAAAAACTATTGTGAAACTATTATGAACAAATCTGTCATGCTATCTCATTTATTTCCATCATCTCGTCCGAAAGGAAAAAAGAAATGTCTTCTTAGAATATCATTTCTATCTCTCTTGCAGACTTGCCCTGGTTTGCCCTGCTCTTCTATTACCCTAAATGTTGATGAGCGTGCTCTGACTAGCCAGACTGTGTCTTTATTAGTAAATTATAATAATCTGTTATTATCATATATTTATATAGCGCCGAGTACCAGCTAGGTATTTGAATCGATCATTGGATGTCAATCTAAACGGCATCTCGTATTATCAATCTCAACTCCCTGGGCATCATACAATTCTTGCAGCCACCAGGCACACCAAGTAAATGTGGCTCTCCCATTCTTACGAGGTACCCATTCATAGCTTGGTGGACTGGGACACATATTCATAGTACTTTGTCCAAGTGTACTGCACGTTGCTGTACTCGCAACTAGGTGTTTGCACGTATTCATGTGGTCAGGGTTGTGTACTGTACACTAGGGGTTGTGACAACACTGAAGGACTCAGCACACAAAGTTGACTCTAAGGTTCGGACATAAAATCAGGTTGTGTTGAGAGGCAAATTAGTGCTCAGATCGGCTGAATAAATATTTCCATTATTCACTTGGGTTTTTTTGTCTTACATGGTGGGGGTTTTTGTCCCAGGGGTGTGTTGTCCACAGGGTTTTGTCCGCACACCGTTTTTACACACGGTCAAAGGTGGGCTCGATCCCGACACCTCAACCTCGCTGGATCACTAGCCTGGCGTCTGAGACAGCCAGACGCCCACCACGCCCCGTAACTGATTATGACTAACATCGAATTGCCCTTATATCTTCATGAATTGTTCTGAATTTTAAAATGCTTACATTATTAATAAGTTCAGATTAGAATCTTGAATTTATTTAAATAAAGAAGGCTGGGAGAGGATTCAGCCCTTTGACTCTGTATTCAATTGTCCTGAAACCTCCTGAAGCGAAGCAACAGTCGGAATACATCCAATTTTTCAAATGACAATTGACCAATTCATGCCCGTGTTTGAACATTGTAAAAACTTACCTCGACAGGAAAACATGCCTTGAGGCATTGTCCAACACATCATTTCCTTACTATACATAACAACAACGCCCATACTTGATTACTTTGTCATTGTCAACATGTCCATTAAGGCTATCAATGTCATAATGTTACGTAATAAAATGCCGTGTTAGACAATGACACAATTAGTTGCCAGTTAATCAGAACTAATTTGTTAACTCACAGACAAATACAATTACGTCAAAGACCAGGAAGCTTGTTTATATAGGAACCGAGCTAAATGTAAGAGGATTAAACATTATAATATCTAACACAAGGTGTATTCTCTTTTTGCCTGCACTTTAATTGGCTATAAGCGGATTAGGATTGACAGTCGAGTGCTTGCACAATATAGTCTGTTCGAGTAAGTGGAGTTCACTCCCCACCAAGTTCACTCACTGATAACAATGTCACCATATTTGTCAAATGATTCATACTCGTGTATTTATTGTACTGGCGGATGTTATATGCCATAAACAAAACTTACCGTTTCTCCTTATTTGCTGGCATCCTTACATTTCTAATAGGGACTATAGCATTAATCCCAATTGTTCTAAGGATTAATTCGGGCCACTGATATTAATCCCATAACAATACCTGCCGGCAAAAAGAGAACACCCCCCAACACACATGCTCTAAGTTTCTCGCTTTGATATGTAGTTACTGATGAAATTAGTCCATTGTTCACGAGATTACGTCGGCGTGCCACTTGATGCTCTTCACCTATATATATGGTTTCAGGTGAGGTGCACGCTGCTCACATCACGTAGAAGAATCTACTCAGTTCTTATGCTTGTGAGGACGGTATTGTACGACAATGAAACTGCTCCGTCGCTGCTCACATAACATGGGTTATTGTGGTTCGTTAAGATCTGGAGTATTCATTATCAGTGTTCTCAGCGTTGCCACAATAATGCTGAATAAAGTCACTGTGGATATGTATTCCGGGAACACTCCATACACAGCGCCGTCAAGAATCGGGGAGCGTAAAGTTCATATCATAGGATCAGATCGTGTACAATCTGGCATCCAGAAATCAACTCCAAACAACCGGAAGCAGAAATCAACTCCAAACAACCGGAAGTCCAAAGTGATCCCCAGAGGTGGAACTCGTTGCCCCAGTGTTTTGGACAATATGTCAAAAGGACACTGGAAGCAAAGGGTCATGACAAAGCAAGAAGTGTTCACACAAGAAAAGTTCCTGAATCATTCTCGGAAACAAATAAGTATAATTAGTCCTATATCAAGACCAGATGGGCTGTGTGGAAATTTCACTCTTCCCTATAACCGCCAAGCGAGAGCTCTCTGTTACCCAACCAGCAAAACACCCTGTTGTTTTAATAATAGATGCGTCGCGCTACCAGAGGAAAAGTGTCGCTGCAAAAACTGCTACGACGTCAGACAACGTGTACACGCGGAGTATGCTACGTGGATACCGGCGGACAAGAGGTGCTCGTTTCATGTTTTCACGGGAAAGGAAGCCTGTCAACTTTTGGCTAATTCGACACTGTTTCTGTTTGGAGATTCTCATTTTCGTCATTTTTATACTGCGATGCTTATGTTATTGCGTAACGATCCGATCGGCGGTGGACTTAAAGATAAAGATAGACATAGCAACGGTAAGTTGACAATATTTCCAAATTTTCGAGGAATATTTTATTATTAGAGAAATTGGAAAGTATGTATTTCGTTCTACTCAACATGTTTTAACAGGAGTCTTAAAGATGGTGTGGGTTACGATTTAATTCATAAATAGAATATTCAGTTGTTAGGGCATCCACAAACAAATAAAACCTACACTACTTTTTAAATAGTTGGGGGTTTATTTTTTAATTATTTTAATTCATGTCAGAGTTCATTTCATTGTATAGAATTGTATATCATTGTTAGGAAATCAATGGATATAGAGTGTGGACAAAAACAGTTTGAATATATGTTGAGGATACGTCATGAGACCATATAACTATAGCTAATTAAGCTACAGGTGAGGAAATTAACAAAGAAAAACTTCAGCGTGTTATTTAATCATATTCTGCCAAGTGTTTTATTCAACCAGATAAAGGTTTTATTCAAAAATGTGCCTACAGATAAGGTTTCCATTTTCAATATTAGAGTGAGTGGGTTTAGTTAGACGCCGCTTTTAGCAATATTCCAGCAATATCACGGCTGGGGACACCAGAAATGGGCTTCACACATTGTGCCCAATCAATGTTAGAGATATCTTTTTTCCTGAAGTGATATTATGATTCTTTCGAGTTTTTGTTATTAATGGTCAGTGGTTTTGGTGTTTAGTAAGGAATATCATCAGTACGTTATCTTTCTATTGTGACCAAAACTATGTTAGGAAGTGATTCTGCATAACATGAATAAAAGATTCATATTCACAAAAGTAACAAATGTGTCATCAGCAATATTCACTCTAGACAATTCAGTTTGGACAGTTCAGGTAGTTGCTTCTCTACTCTTAACATTGACTGTGTCGTGAATTGTGAAAATACCCATATTTGTTTGTCAAATGCCACAGTTCAGAACATTCCACCTATATGGCATTGGCAAGACATGCTGGATTTAAGGAATTAAATAAGGAACACATATATTATCTCAAGTCGATTATTCAAGCTGATGGTATACAAAGCGGTAGAACTACACAAGAAATAATTCAAGACCCCAAAGGTGCTCTTAATTTAATATTCTCCAAAACTTCAAAGATAGGACTTTTAAGTTCAGGATTATCTCCATATTTCATCATGGCTTCTTTAATATACAATTTATAGCGGTATGTAAATAATGACGAATTCAAGTTATCGATATCATGAGCATCGATCTACTCAGCATACCATGGCATGCATCACCCACGTCAGAGAGCCTGACCATCCGATCCCGTTGGTTGCCAAGCACGTGTTTCTGAAAGTCAGTTCCAACCTATCTCAATGGGAATGATAATGATTTTTGCAATGGTGTGTAATAACAAGAAACGAGTTGATCAATCAATCAATCAGTTTTTATTCCATGTTCTTTGAGTGGCGTGTAGAACCTGAAATGATAAAGAGGAACAATTTTTATGGATAGACAACGTTTTCGTTGCAATATATGCGCGTTTCTGTGCTAGTTTATGAATTATTACGACACGTAAGCTGCATAAGAAAAACAAATTTCATATTCTTACAGCCTTACTTTTCAAACTACAAATGAAATCATGTTCTCACACACATACATCTAATAAAATAGAACTGATAAAATAGAAAGTATATTGGCTATTGATATAAAAGATAAACATTTACAATAATTTACATCATTTATGAAATATCCAACAGGTAAGTCGGAATTCTATATAGGTAAACATAATGTAAATAACTGGAGTTACATGTTATGTATTGTGTAGAGTTATATAAGCATTGTGTCTCAAATGTGTACAAATCTTCTAGGGAAGAAAGTTGTAGTTTTACAATGTTAATCACCCAGGAAACTGAAAGCTATTGTTTTGAGGAGCTTGATAGTTTGAGACAGGCACGCCTAAGCCGTCCACCCCTTGATAAAATCGACCAACTGTTTGGACTCAAGCACATAAAATGATGCTACAACGGATAAAGATAAAACAATTTGAAATGTTAATTCTAAAGCTATATCACAAAAGCATACACACTACATCCCGCTACAATATGACAGTGGCTTGGATAATGTATTAAAGGCTGCATACGAGGCAGGCATTCATGGTGTACAATGCACCCGAATGAAATGCACCCTAATTTTGTGGTAATCTTTCAACCTACATCCTTACTATCTGCTGAAACACGGTCATTGCTCAATACAACCCAAGTATAATGTCTGACCTAGATACATGTATTCACTGGATGAAAGGCTGCTTTGTGTAAATACCAATCCGGGTATCAGGTCACCCCGTGTCTCAGGAGGCGCGCAGCAGTATGGCCACCTCCAGTTTTTCGCCTCTAGGTAGTTTCATGGATTTGTCCCTTTGTGACCAATGACAAAAGATGTGAATGACCACAAAAATGACCCGTGCAGTTCGATAGCAAGTTTTACTTTATTTAATACATCCATGTCTAGGAGAAGTACAATAAGTAGCCGCTTAAGTTTTTGTGAGTGATAAACATCGTTAGCAATACGTATTGTATTAACAATACTATTATACTTTCTTGAGAACATCCTTAAACAGTCATTTTTTACAAATACTTGCTCCCGTATACTTTCTTGATTGTTTGCGCCCTGAAAAACACCGCCATCATCTGTGAATGGTCAAGTTACAAATAATGTTTCCCTATTCATGTCTTTCCATTTCCGCCACTCAACACGTTCACCATTTATAATAATAATAAACATAATAGGCCATTTATATAGCGCCTTTTCACGTCACAGGGATATGCTCAAAGCTTTATCGGATGTTAGCTGGAAAAGGTAACGCCCCTTATTCATATCTATTCATAGCTGGCAGATGTATGTGTATTGGGTGTGGTGGTGAGTTTAGGAGAGAGAGGGTGTGGTTCTCTTTTAACATTAGTGCATCTACTGTACTTAAATTCGAACCTTATTAACCTTTTTCTTCGTATTACAGTGACTCTAAAGAAATGTCCGGGTCCCTACCAGTTCGGATCTAAGGAATGCAGACCAACCCTTGAACTGAAGGCAAAACCTTTGTGCAATGGCAGTTTCAACCTGAAGTATATCAGTCACACGAAGGCTTCGCAGGGTCCGGATCTATATAACAAAATCAAAGCACCTGGTCGTAGAAAGAAAACGCTTGCTATGATTTCACTTGCAGCACGCGAAGGCAACAATGTAACTAAGTTTATGGAATATCTAAAGCCGGCCTTAAATTTTGTCAAAAATACTTCCTTCAAATATCCGAAGTTAATGTGGGCAAACGGCCACGCACCTGGACTTCTCAAATCGCCAGTATATGAACGTCAGGGGCTTCAGTATATGAAAAAAGCAAACGATAATATGCATAAACTGTTGAGGCCTCTTGGTATTCCTGTGTTTGATACATTCAATATGACGAGTACCACCATCAGTTTTGATGGCACCCATTATGGCTACGGTGCAACGACAGCCAAAGTTCAGTTGCTGCTGAACTACCTGAAGGAGCTGCAGGGCAAACATCAGTGGTGAATGGTGATTGGGGATGAACTACCTGAAGGAGCTGCAGGGCAAATATCAGTGGTGAATGGTGATTGGGGATGAACTACCGGAAGGAGCTGCAGGGCAAACATCAGTGGTGAATGGGAACAAACATCAGTTTTAGATGAGCTACCGGAAGGAGCTGCAGGGCAAACATCAGTGGTGAATGGTGATTGGGGATGAACTGCCTGAAGGAGCTGCAGGGCAAACATCAGTGGTGAATGGTGATTGGGGATGAACTACCGGAAGGAGCTGCAGGGCAAATATCAGTGGTGAATGGTGATTGGGGATGAACTACCGGAAGGAGCTGCAGGGCAAACATCAGTGGTGAATGGTGATTGGGGATGAACTACCGGAAGGAGCTGCAGGGCAAACATCAGTGGTGAATGGGTTTTAGATGAACTACCTGAAGGAGCTGCAGGGCATATATCAGTGGTGAATGGTGATTAGGGATGAACTACCTGAAGGAGCTGCAGGGCAAATATCAGTGGTGAATGTTTTGGGGATGAACTACCGGAAGGAGCTGCAGAACAAACATCAGTGGTGAATGGTGATTGGGGATGAACTACCGGAAGGAGCTGCAGGGCAAACATCAGTGGTGAATGTTTTTAGATGAACTACCTGAAGGAGCTGCAGGGCAAATATCAGTGGTGAATGTTTTTGGGATGAACTACCGGAAGGAGCTGCAGGGCAAATATCAGTGGTGAATGGTGATTGGGGATGAACTACCGGAAGGAGCTGCAGGGCAAACATCAGTGGTGAATGTTTTTGGGATGAACTACCGGAAGGAGCTGCAGGGCAAATATCAGTGGTGAATGGTGATTGGGGATGAACTACCGGAAGGAGCTGCAGAACAAACATCAGTGGTGAATGGTGATTGGGGATGAACTACCGGAAGGAGCTGCAGGGCAAACATCAGTGGTGAATGGTGATTGGGGATGAACTACTGGAAGGAGCTGCAGGGCAAACATCAGTGGTGAATGGTGATTGGGGATGAACTACCGGAAGGAGCTGCAGGGCAAACATCAGTGGTGAATGGTGTTTGGGGGTACCAGGAACTATCAATGTGCAAACTATCTTCCATTACCCAGTCTGTAATATACTCATTCTGTTAGACCAACTCGAAACCAGTTTCCTATGCGACTTCACCATTCCCAGGGGCGGTGGGGTAGCCCAGTGGTTAAAGCGTTGGCTCGTCACGCCGAAGGCCCAGGCTCGATTCCCCTATGTGGGTGCAATATGTGAAGCCCATTTCTGGTGCTTGAAAATTACTAAAAGCGGCGTAAAACCATACTCACTCATTCTCTCACCATTCCCACGTTCTAACGAACGTAGCACTGAATTTCTTTGATCAGTATAACTTTATTTTCATTGATACATTGATACAGGTTTCACTGCTTTAAACCCGATGGTATGTGTTAGCGAATGTGCGGAGCGTATTAATCCTAACAGAATGACGACATTCCACCCTGGATAAATAAGGATGAGAAACTGAGAAGATTGTGCTCTCTTCTGTGATGATGGGATGCTTCTTGTAACGGTGTAAGGGCAAACATCAGATTTGGTGTAAGATCATCCTAGACTTCCCAACATAAGTGCAATATATTATAATTGTCTCTGTCAGTGTCCTTGTTAGCAACACAATATACTGCCTTGGCCATGGCCACGTTTGTGTCGATATGCATGTATGAAATTATGAAAACATTTTCATGATTGAAATCACTTTACTAACATTCACACATTTATCTAAACGTTTTACATCATCTTCACATTTTGTCTCTACTAGGATTTTAATCGTATATTTTTTACACATTGTTTACACACATGCTCTTGACATACTAGAATAGAGAATACTGACAGACATATTAATTCAGTAATGTGGGCTTAACGGGCTATAATACAATTGAAAGATACAATATTTTACAATGCCTCGTGATATTTTCATGTATAATGTTTAAAGAGATGTCTCAAAAACAGAGCAACTGATTTAACAGTATTAGAATTAGAGTGTAATACATTTATCATGCTTTATTCACATTGGGGCATGGCATTCAGCTGTGGCAAGCACTTTTGCCGAATTTCATTATATTTTGTACATTGCATAAAAACATGGTATTCATCTTCAATCGCTCCAAGATTACAATTTATACAGATACAACTAGTTATACCACTGTCTTTATTTCTCCTTTAAGTAACAATTCTAAAATTATCCAGGGATATTCTAAATTTACAAACTACTCTTAGAAGAGACTTATCATTCAGTTGTAAAATATAACATTCAGGCTCCAAATCTGCTTTCAGCTTACAGTAGTGCGTTAAGTAATGCGAGTTACAAATAGAATCATGCCAAGTTTGTTTGTACATGTCAGTTAATCTTTCTCTACATTTTAGTATAAACACATTTGCATCACCGACATTTTGTAATATCCACGCAAATGAGAGACCTGTTCTAAACAAGATTGTTCTAATGTTTGACACCCAAAACATTTTACATTTCATGTAAATTTTTAAGTAATACATAACATTGATATGGATAACGATTTACATTCATTTGCAACAACTTAATCCAATACTTAATGCATCGTATTTGAGTTAATATAAATATATCATACCTACCAGTACGTAGTAATGCATTGAAGAACGGTTACCACTATGCTGACAGGGATATACGGATAGGGATGGTGAATCGGCAAAGGTGGATTGTCTGGTCTAGACTCATGTATTTACAGACTCCCAGCTTAAAGCTGAGTGCGGCGTCCTACTACCAACAAACATTGTCGCGTAGGACGTCAACTGAAAAGTGATCCATGTAAATAAAATATATTTCTAAGAAGTAATGTTGTGTTGTACATACATGAAGCATTTTCAGTATTAGCGCAGTGGTACCACAGATATGTAGTGAGTGAACGTGTGGTGTGGTACCACCAGCTAAGGCACGGAGCCCTATTTACCACAGGAGATTGTAACGCTAAGAACTGACATCAAGGTATATATTGTCACTGACGTTAACTTAGTACTATATACTGTCACTGACGGGGTCTTAGTACTATATGCTGTCACTGACGTTATCTTAGTACTATAAACTGTCACTAACGGGGTCTTAGTACTATATACTGTTACTGACGTTATCTTAGTACTGTATACTGTCACTGACGGGGTCTTAGTACTATATGCTGTCACTGACGTTATCTTAGTACTATATACTGTCACTGACGGGGTCTTAGTACTATATAGTTACTGATACTGTCACTGACGTTATCTTAGTACTATATACTGTCACTGACGGGGTCTTAGTACTATATACTGTCACTGACGGGGTCACTGACGGGGTCTTAGTACTATATGCTGTCACTGACGGGTACTATATACTATATCACTGACGGGGTCTTAGTACTATATACTGTCACTGACGGGGTCTTAGTACTATATACTGTCATTGACGGGGTCTTAGTACTATATACTGTCACTGACGTTGTCTTAGTACTATATACTGTCACTGACGGGGTCTTAGTACTATATACTGTCATTGACGGGGTCTTAGTACTATATACTGTCACTGACGTTATCTTAGTACTATATACTGTCACTGACGGGGTCTTAGTACTATATACTGTCACTGACGGGGTCTTAGTACTATATACTGTCACTGACGGGGTCTTAGTACTATATACTGTCACTGACGGGGTCTATATACTGTACTATATACTGTCACTGACTTAGTACTATATACTGTCTCTTAGTACTATATACTGTCACTGACGTTATCTTAGTACTATATACTGTCACTGACGGGGTCTTAGTACTATATACTGTCACTGACGGGGTCTTAGTACTATATGTACTATATGTCACTGACGGGGTCTTAGTACTATATGCTGTCACTGACAGGTTCTTAGTACTATATACTGTCACTGACGGGGTCTTAGTACTATATACTGTCACTGACGGGGTCTTAGTACTATATACATGTCTTACTATCATTGACGGGGTCTTAGTACTAGACACTGTCACCGACGGGGTCTTAGTACTATATACTGTCACTGACGGGGTCTATATACTGTCACTGAGTAAAATAAAGTACTAAGATCCCGTCAGTGACAGTATATAGTATTATATACTTTATAGTACTAAGACCCCGTCAGTGACAGTATATACATACCTTGAAGGCAGTTTTTAGCGTTACAGCCCCTGTGCTATTTACAAGGGTCGCCACATTTAGCAATATTCCAGCAATATGACGGCGGGGGACAGCAGAAATGGGCTTTGTCACACATCGTACCCATGTGGGGAATCGACTGATCATATTTTTTATTATTTTTTTTATTTTATTTTTTCCATATATACATGGGAATGTCCAAAATGGATATTTCAACCATGGTTGAACCTAAGGAAAACTGATGTGTAAAAATATCTTGGACTTTTTTTGATAGAAAATTCTTTCAAATTATCTCTATGAAATCTCTGTCCACACGCTACTAAAGCCATGCATTTTGTTTTACGCAAAAGTTGAATGTTAAATTTATCAATACAACGTCAACTATATATCTTTGATTCATTGGTGAAACCAATTTTGTTGTATGGTTGTGAAATTTGGGGATATTTTAATTCAAAACAAATTGAAAATTACATATGAGAAAAATTTTACCTGTAAAGAAAAGTACCCCATTGCATATGCTTTATGGTGAATTAGGTAGAGTCCGACTTTCTGTTGATGTTAAACAATTGAAATAGTTGGGTTTTTTCATTATTTTGTTCTATTGTATAAAATCTTCAAAATGAAGGTATTCACAGCTGTAGCTGGATTTCATGTACAGAGAATATTTTAAATAACATTGGTTTAAGTGATGTATGGCTTTCACAGTCTCCTATTTCAACTTCCTGGATCAAAATACAGCTCATTCAATTCTAATCTGAGCTCAGAGAAGGAAAATTAAAAAAGGTCAAATATATTCTCTAAATATGTTAAAATTTAAATCACTCTTTATATGTAAAAAGGTATCTGTTATGAAAAATCTCAGTACATTCTGTAAATATATCATGCAAATTGTAAAATTGTAAAAACTATTATTATACTACTACCATTATATTAT